ACTTACCTCAACATTATTTCTTTGGAAGTTATGGTCAACCATTAGGGAAAGTTGAAATTGAACACTTAGATGACACGTCTTGGGTACAAGCACACCGATATGTTCTTTTCCATCACGATTTAATAGATCCCTTTCGCACATAAGTCTTTCGGACCCAATCCTAATGAAATCTCTTTATCTTTTATATTTATCAATTTTTAACGACATAATATTCTTTATAGTGAGTTTAAAGAAGTATTGAGATCTCGAGCACGCTCCCGAAGATTAAATCAGCGAGAGCTACATAAGTTATTCACAGAAACTTTTCATGAATGGTTAGGCCAGACGGTAAGCAACTAAATCTTACAGAACACTTATAAATTATATGTGTCTTGTTTTTTATATCGACGTCAATGCAAATTAATTCACCATTCATGTGTAATAGGTTTGGAGTGGGAGAGAAGTTAATGAAGAAGTTAAATGGCTTTCTCAAGGTCTGAATAGAATAGTTAAAAGATATAATGCCTTCCTCATTAATGGGTTCAGGTTCCACACGAAATCTCGTGAAAGATTAAGAAGAACACAAAATTGTGGAGTCGTCGTTACTTCGTCAACTACAAGTTATACTACTATAAGGGACAATAATCCGCATGAGGGAGAGGTCGATTATTATGGAAATCTTACGGACATTATTGAGTTAGATTATTATGGAAAATGAAAGGTTGTGTTGTTTCGGTGTGACTGGGTTGATGTAAATAGATGTATAAAAAGAGATAAATTCGGGTTTACAATGGTGAATTTCTCTCGATTAATTCACACGGGTCAACGTTTGATGGATGAATCATATGTATTTTCTTCTCAAGTGAAACAAGTATTTTATTGTCACGATCCAATGGATGACGGTTGGTATGTTGTGCTTCGAAATACTCTCAGAGACTTGATAGACATCGGGGATGGAAGTAGAGATGACATTGAAACAAGATCAGAAAGTTTTCCTCTACTACCACAAAACTTAGATGAAACTATCAGTAATACAACACAATTTCAATGGGTTCGGAAGGATGTTGATGAATATATTTATGACAACTGAAATTATATAAGACTTTTGTACGATTTTATATCTTCATTTATTTATTTATAATGTTATAACCTTTAACATGTTATCTTTCAATATATTCATTAATTAATTCATTTTTTATTACTCATGTTTGTTTATTATAGATATCATGCCAAGGAGAAAAATAAATAATTTGCTGGTTGTTCGATTTTCTGAAGACCATGAAGAAAGAAATAACGAGGAATCGAATGCACCTGAGTCTTCCGAAGTTCCGGAAACTGTTGAAGAAGACGTAGAAATTCAAAGTATTCTTCGAAACATTATTTACTACTTTGTTCATTTTCAAAACTAGCATTTAATAATTTCTTATATAGTTGAAAATGCTGGAACGCGCAAGACTCGAGGACGTACAACTTTGAAGGAATTATACCAACTTCCTCCTGGCATCGTGTCAAAGTTTCAAGAAACGATGTCGGTCAACCTATTGGCCCAGAATCACGTCTTCTAGTAGGTTACTTAGGCATAGTTGGACGTAATGTGAATCTGTTACCGATCAATTATGAGTCATGGCGCGAAATGCCTAATAGTAACAAAAATCAAGCGTTGGATTTTGTTAAGGTAATAATGTCATTATAATACATACTCTATAGAAATTCAATACTAATTTATACTTACGGTGCACACTTATATGTTGTATAGGAGAAATTTTCTTTAGAGGTCTCTGACAATTATGTGAAGCAAACGTTAGAGAATAGATAGAGGGATCACAAGAGCTCCTTAAAGAAGAAATACTTCAAGAATGATCTCAGCCTTGAAGAGAAGTTACAAACAGTCCCACCAGGAATGCTCAGGTACCAATGGGAAGATGCAGTCAGATTTTGGTGTTCACAAAAAGGACATGTATGATGTATTTTTCAGAAATAATTGTAACGAATTGTAAATAATCATTAAAAGTGGTTGTTTGACATTGTAGACCCGAGAGCATATTGGTGTTGCTAGCAGGCAACAACAAAAGTTTACGCACACGGCTGGATCGAAGAGTTTTGCTTGTATAGATCATGAGGAGGTATTATAGATTATTGAAATAGTGTTTTTGTATTCCATGTACATACTAACTCATAGTAATTATATTATGGTACATTGTAGAAAAATGCATCCGGTTCTAAAGTTGGTCGAATCCAACTCTTCGACATGACACATACGAAGAAGGATGGCACTCCTATGACTGCTGACGCTGCAGAAATTATGGTACGTTTTTTGGGTAGATGTTTTCAATTTACCTGACTTTATTTATATTTGTACCATGACATTTTTTATTTTAATTAATTATTCACTTTATTAGGAAAAATTGAGGGAGAAAAAGGTGGAGTATCATGTTACTGCTTCGAGTCAAGGTATTGTTAATGATGATGACATTGAAAACCAAGCTATTAATGACGTTTTGGGTCCTGAAAGATATGGTCAGGTGCGCTGTCAAGGATCATTCGTTACTCCCACCAAATATTTTGGATCCAGTTCATCACAGTACATGTCATCACAGTCTCGATCTTCCCACCAAGAAGTTTGTCGTTTAAAAGAAAAGTTGGCTGAGATGGATCAACAAATAGCTAACTTGAAAGCGGAAAATAAAGCAAGGGAAGCAGAGAGAGAAGTAGCAGAAGCAACTAGAGCAGCAGCGAAAGCAGAGAAAGAAGCAGCGGCAGCACAGAGAGAAGCATCATATCAACAGAAATGTGAAGAATTTGAAAAACGACTCAATGATATGATGTTAATGATTCAGAAAACGCAACCTCAGAATCCATTATCGTAGTCTCATTTATGTTATGAGCATTCTACTGAACCTTCTGTAACTGAACTTATATTACGTTAATGAAAACTTTTATTTATTATATTGGATTTAATGTTGTTTGTTATGGATATAGAGTTTGATATTATTATTGTTTTGTTTGTTGGATAATGGAACAGGTTGAAAAAATAGTTTTGGGGTAATCAAGCATAATTTTATGATTGTTAAATTCTGTGTTATTTAGCGGCGTTTGTAAAAAAAAAAACGCTGCAATATACCATACATTTAGCGGCGTTTTTATCCTAGAAATGCCGCTATATACAGACCTGTACCGGTGTTTTTATCAGAAGCGCCGCAAAACATCAACACCTACTACGACGTTTTAGCGAAAAACGCCACTAAACATCATAACCTATTGCGGCGTTTGTCTGAAAAACGCTGCTAAATATTAACACCTATTGCGGCGTTTTTATGACAAACTCCGCTAAATATCAATACCTACTGCGTCGTTTGTGAAAGAAACGTCGCTAAATATCAACACCTATTGCGGCGTTTGTCACACAAAATTTGCTAAATATCAATACATATTGCGACGTTTTTTGTGAAAAAATGCCGCGAACTTTAGCGACGCTATTTTCAACGACGATTTTTACGGCGTTTGTCTTAACGCCGCATGTGTTTTTAGCGGCGCTTATAAACGCCGCAAAAAGCCTGTTTTGATGTAGTGCTGATAATCTTTTATTCCCACTGGTAATCTTAGATTCTGTGAACCAAACGCACCCATAATGTATTAATATATCATTGATGAAAAGGGATTTTAATTAAAAACAATATTTAAAATATTATAAAATAATAATTTAAATATTTATTTTAAAAAATAATAATTTATGTACTTAAAAGAAGAAGAAAAAACATGACATAGTTTCTTTTTTTTCACATTAAGCCTACTCAAAATAACAAAATGAAATATATAAAGGATTACCAGGTGTATTTATAGTAATTTCTTCGTTTGCGAACAATATTAATATTAAAATTCTGATATGTGTTTTATTTTATATTTTATAACATTTAAATTTGCAATAATGATACTTAGTATAATTTAATTATTATTAATGAAATAATTTTTATTAAGAATATATAAAATAAGATATAATCATATTTTTTACGGCAGAGATTATAAAGCACACAGCAAACTGTTTCTTTAACAAAAAAGGGAAAACGGTCACGTGATGCCCTTACTCACAGCGTACCAGCATACAACTGTCCAATACAATCTCTGCTCGCTGTAAACAAAAAACAAAGGAGAAATTGGTAATTCCGTGTTTGCTTTTTCCCGATTAAAGTATAATGGTAAATCTTACCATTGACTTACCTAGAGCTGTAAATGAGACGAGACAGATCGCGAGTTATTCGAGATCGATTCAATCAAGATTCGATAAATAATCGGATCAAATGGACTCGAACTCGAGCTCGAGCTACTCGATATTCGACTCGAAAAGCTCGTGAACAGCTCGAAAAAATGTTATATTATAATTTTAGATTTTTTAAAATTACATTATAAAAAATTATTAAAAAAAATTATTGATAATTATAAAATTTTAAAAATATATTAAAAATTATATAATACTATTACCCTCAAATTTTAATTTTTTTAATTAAACAGCCCAAATCCAATTGTTACATTGTATATTATTAAAAGAAAAATAAAAGCTCATTTAATTAAGCACATGTTAGATTACACCCTAAACCTAAACCCTAAAACCTAAGCCCTAAACACATGTTAAATTACACCCTAAACCCTAAAACCTAAGCCCTAAACACTAAATCCTAAACCTTAAACCATTAATTCGATTATATGATAAGGGTTAAGTTATGCACATGAAGGTAACGTACAAATTATGCAAAATGAAATTAATGAAATTAACATGGGTTTATATGTAAATAAACTAATAAATCACACTTGGTCAAATCAATCAATAGGTCCATTATCAAAACAAACGGTGATCAAAACATAAAATAAAAATAAATTAACAAACCGAATCATACAAACGTAAACCTTGATTAATGACGAAATTAGAAGATTACAAATATAACAGGTCCTAAACTGCTAGTACTTTATTTCTAAAACATGGACTACCGCTAGTCCTCGAAGCGCTGCCGTTTTGGTATTGCTTAAAGCTACGTCAGGTTATTGAAACTGGGATGCAGTTGAAACACAACATGCTTTATCACTGCTCCAAGATCTTCATTTGTCACCCCACGCACATAAACAATCCACTTATGTGACTGTGACCTAATTAAAGGAGATATCTATTTAGTATTATTCAATCACAAAACAAGGGGATATGCATATCATGGAAAAACATACTTACTCACTAGCCTTTCGACCAAGATAAAAGGCAATAGTTCCATAAACAATTAGAACACAAAGCTTAATATCTTTAACTCTCCTGTTTGTACCCTATAAATGATCAGAACATAAATTAAATAATGTTATTATAATGGAAAGATAGTGTTTCAACTAAAAGGGGAAACCCTTCCAAGCACTAAACAAAATTCAACATTTCCCACTTCTTGTTTTCAAATGTTAATAGCAGAATTATGCCTAAGCTCTAATTAGGAATAGAAAATTTTAGTTCTTATAAACCCAAAAATCCTTCACAAAAAGGAATGAAGCATTAAACAACTGCTACAATGTCCCTGGTATTATGCAAATGGAATAATCTTACCCAAAAAATCGAAGAACCTAGAAAAATCGAAACGTTATTTTAGTAGGAATGCAGATAAATGTGACCAAAAGCAATTGAAGAAGCTAAAAGAGATGACCTTTTTGTCGCTATCGTTGGTAGTTTTGACTAGTTTGATGATGCGTTGTGGCTTAGAAGCAGAGCCGCCATCCTTAACTTGGGCTTCGATAGCCGCATGAGGCATTTCAGCAGACAGTTGAAGTGGGATCAAAACCAGAAGCCAAATAAGGTTTTCACCTTCAATTCTTGTATAATAATATAGGGCTTTTTCGATTAATTTTGAGTGGATAATAAGAGGGGTTTTTTGTGAGGGGGAAATTGGATGAAAAAGAAGCACTCGAGTGAGATTCTTCAGCCCCACCAGTGTTCAGGGTGGAGAATCGTGGTGAAACAGAATCCCATATCGAGTGAGAAAGATAATGGAGTGGAAATTGTACTCAATAAATAAGAGGCAACTATGAGCGTTAAAACGTACTTACCTGTCGAGCTTGAATCGAGCTCAAAATCGAGCTTGAACCGAGCTCAAAATCGAGCTTCAATCGAGCTCGAGTCTCGAGCTCTTGAATTTTTTTTGAGTTCGAGCCTTTTCGAGTTCGAGTCGAGCTCAGCAATACTCGAGCTCGACTCGACTTGTTTATACCCTTAGGCTCACCATTCTTCATCTCTCCGCGATATCTTAAGAAAAGTGAACTAATATTCGGCTAACAAATGGTGTAATCAAAAATTTAATAAGATACTTAACAAAGTTGATTTAGCGCTACCAAAAATATTGAGTAATAATAATGTTGTAGGTGGAAAACATGAAGAAAAATTAAAAAAATTGGCAACCGACAAACTTAGTTTATCGGTAGGTATCAATACTATGCACATAAGTATCAATATATATAGTAATATATAAGAAAGTGATGAAAACCGATTAAAAGTATACATGTATCGATACCTTTATAAGTATATGTATAAAAATATCAGTACTTTAGTGATTCAAAAGAATTGCAATAAAAGTGCCTATAAAGTATCGATCCCTTACACACATGTATCAATACATGAGGATATAATAGGTCGAAATTTGACAAATCCGATTTCATTTTGACAAAACATGTATCAAATTTGACAAACCCGGTTGATATTTGACAAAACCAATTTCAATTTGAGAAAACCGGTAAAGAGTTACATGTTGAAATTTGACAAATCCAATTTCAATTTGACAAAACCGGTAGTGAATTTGACAAAACCTGTTGATATTTGACAAAACCAATTTCAATTTGATAAAATCGATAAAGAGCTACTGGAATTATTGAAATATGTATCGATACGTATATAAGTATATGTACCAAAGTATTGGTATTGTAGTAATTTAAAAGAAATGAAAAAAGGAAAATGTCTCAAAAGTATAGATACCTTACACACATGTATCGATACAAAGCAATCTAACAGGTTTAAGTTTGACAAAACCGGTAAAGAGATATTAGAATGGTTGAAATTTGTATCGATACTTTTATAAGTATATACACCAAAGTAACAGTACTTTAGGAATTTAAAAGAATTGCAATAATAGTGCCTATAAAGTATCGATACCTTATACACATGTGATACATGACAATATAACAGGTTGAAATTTGAAAAAACCAGTTTCAATATGAAAAAATTGGTAAAGCGCTATCGGAAATGTTGACAGTATCGATTCTTTTATAAGTATATATATCATAGTATTGGTACTTTAGGAATTGAAAAGAAATGAAAAAAATGAAAACATATCGAAAGTATCAATACCTTACCAAAAGTATAGATACTTGGGTAATGATATCGATTAAATATAAATAACATAACCGGTTAAAATATCAAAGGCATTGCTACCAGAGAAATAGATAGAAGACGCCCGTAGTTTTTGAAATCGAAGTGTATTAGTTGTTGCGAAATAGAAGCAAGGCATTTTTGAAAACGTAGTTGTTTGTTTGTTGTTGCAATCGAATCAAAAGATATGTTGTCGAAACTCAATTTTTTTAGTATTACAGTATTAAAAAATAGGGATTAGGTTTATGGGTATGAGGTTTTTGAAGTAAATAAGGATTTAAGACCGATTACATGTAGAAAGTGATATTCAAGGTAGAAAATAAATATAATACTTTTATATAATATATAGGTAGAAAATGATATTGTAGGTTGTATAAAGGTATCAACACTTGTAGTATAAAGTATTCCCATTTCTTTAAAGGAAACTCGGTTACTATAGGATTATTATCGATACTTGTATATTGAATAAATGTATGCAACTTGTATTGATTTTTGAGTTAATTTAATGCTTAAATGTTTATAACTAATATATGAAGGGAAATGAAGTCAATGGATCTTGCAATTGTTGTTCGCGAAGATAACATGAAATGGAGTCCGAGAGTATCAATAATGAAGTAAATCAAAAGCAACCACTGGGTGAATATATGTACTTCAAGTAAGTATCAATGTATTTGTGTTATTGTTGTTGAAATGGTAATTGGATTAAAGTATTTTAGAACTTTAAATTGATTACAAATTTCAAATCTTGACAGTATAATTGAATGCCAAAGGATGAAGGAAGATGGTAATTACAACATCAGTTTGGTATGTAAATTGAAATTGGCATTGAGTAGTATTTAGCGTTAATTTATTGATTAAGAAATGTTTATGCTTAAGTTTAGGTGAAACATGAGGTGTTGGAGAAATTGAAGTCGATGAGTAATGCTAAGAAGGAATCGTATGTGACATTGTCCAAAAAAGATAGACAACAATATAAAGCTTGGAGGAAAGCACATGAAAAGAATGTATTCATTAAACTTGTAAGTATTCTGATAAACAATATATAAAACACTAACATTAAATATTTAAAAAAATATAGGAAGGAAAAGTTGTAGCACCAAAAGAGTGAACTCCATAATTGAACACATGAAAGAGAAAAATAAAGTTCACGTGCTGGAAGAAATGGGGTTTGGATCTTGGATCTAAATAGGAGATCGACCAATTAGGAGGGAATTGTGTCAATCATTGATGGAGGAATTTTATGTAGAAAAATATAGAGTTCAATATGGTGATTATTCATTTACTCTGGGGTCTCATATGTTGTAGTTATATTGGGGCTAGAAGATAAAGACAATAGTGTTGAAAAAGTCATTAAGATGAAGAACAAGAAAGCACTTGCGAAGAAATATGATTTAAAGCCCCATTTGACATATGCTGGACTTGAGGAGGAAATTATAAGAGAAGCTTATGACGGGGATAACCTGAAGGCCCGAGTACTATTGTACTTTGTCGGGATTTTTCTTTGTCCAACGGGTGATACATCACCGAGCAAGGACAATATCAAGTTGATTTGCGATGAAGGGTTTAAAGGTGAATTGAATTGGGTTGAATATGTCCATGACAAATTGATTAAATCAATAATTCGCTTTCAAAAGGTTTGAAACCAGACATACCTCAAAGGGTCATAACAATCTTAGAGGTAAATGAGTTGAAGGATGTGTTGGGTTAGAAAACATTTAAGTATAATTATTATATAAAATGATAAATTTCATTATAAATGCAAGTTGTATTGTTTGATTTTTTATCTGATTGTGCAAGTGTGTCATCATTCCAAAGAACCGGAATGGCACGCATCCGTGCATGAGGGAAGGAAAAAGTAGTTCGAGTGATGGTAAAATTGAAGTTGGAAAGACCGAGCAAGCAAGAAAGGTTAATAAAAGTAATTATATAATATTAAGAATATAAAAATGTATTAATATTGTAATTTAATTTTGAATGTTATGGCAAGGAGGAAGAGGGGGAAGAAGAGAAGATAGTATGGGAGATTATGGTCAGGGTAGTTCAAGTAAATTTGACATTTTGATGTCTGAGCTGGCGGAGCTAAAAAAACCGTTTCTGATTATTTGTAAAGACAATCCAGAATCGAAGAGACAATTGAGAGCCTTAAGGGGGAAGTAGGTAGAAAAATTGATGGATTGATGAAAGAAGTGATGAAATTAAGGGGTGAATTTAAGCGGGTGATGGGAGAAGTTGAAAAAAATCGATAAAGGGGAAAAATGAGGGCTGAAATAAAAGATATGAAAGTTATGTGGAGAAAAATATGATGAATTTAAAAAATATGAATAAGAAAAATTGTATACAGTGAGGAGGAATGATGTTAATGTTATGCGGACATCGGAGATTGTAATCGATGCTGACCTGGATTCAGAATGTCCTGCGCTTAAGAAGAAGAAACAAAAAGTAAGATGAATAAAAGAAAATTGAATTTGATTTTTATTATTGTGTTATGACTAATATTTGTAATAAAAAATTGTAGGTTGAAAAAGTGAAAATATCAAAAGATATTGGTGCATTTGAAAGTGAAATGTGTGAATATATATGAAATAATGGGTTACCCAATTGACTTATCCGTTTACATTGTTAATTTACCTATTACTTTAAAGTAATATGTTTCAAAATTCTAAGTATCGATACTCCAAGTATCGGTTTGAAGTAAGCAATTAGTGCATTGACATCCCTATCGACGATTTCTTTTATTTTACCTCTTTGAAGTGCATTGTAGAGGTATTTATGTGTAAATCCAAGATTCTGATAACCCATATATAAAGTGCATTGTAGAAGTAATATGTAAATTTACAATGTAAACGATAAAAGTATATCGGTATAATGATAATAACGTAAACACATCGTATCAATACTTTGTTATATCGGTGTCGATACTTTAATTCCAGTATGCATCTCAAACAATTTGGACGCAAAAAGTATCGATACACATATATAAAATATCGATATACTCAGAATTTTGAAACCTATACTTTAAAGTAATAGGTAAATTTATAATGTAAACGGTAAAAATCTACTGGTTTAATGATAATAGGTATAAATATAATGTATCGATACTTTTTTTTATAGGTATCGATATTTTTATTCCAGTAAGCTTCTCAAACAATTTGCACGCAAAAAGTATCGATTCACATGTACAAAGTATCAATACTTTTAATTCCGAAACCTATTACTATAAAATAATAGGTAAATTAACAATGTAAAGGGTAAAAGTTTACCGGTATAATGACCATAGCGTATATACCACGTATCGATACTTTATATATATATCGATAATTTTATTCCAATATGCATCTTAAACAATTTGCACGCAAAATGTATCGATACACATATATAAATCTTCGATACTTATAATTTCGAACCTATTACTTTAAAGTAATAGGTTAATTTACAATTA